CCCCAGAAGAATTGAGATTGTATTGCTAGCCCGCATCAGAGTAGGATCAGAAGTAATCCTCAGCAGATCAAAAGATTGATATCCTTGATAGTAGGGGCATTTCCAGCAGCGTGCTACGCGCAATCAACCCCAGTTTAGGTCAATCCCCGCAAAGCACAGTTAGTTGCCAATGGTTTGAAGAGAGCATCCCCAAGCAGAGTTGTTCTTTCTTTCCCCAGTGAAGTCGCCAAGCAGGGTTGCTTTTCCATTTCTCCAGCAGGACGGTTATCCCCAGCGGATTTGGTTTTCCTTTTCCAGCATTTATTTTGCTGAGATGATTCTGTGACTTCGGGTCATCCCCAGTAGAGTTGGCATGTACCTTCGGCATTTATTTTGCCAAGCGGTGTTCAGACTTGGTGTTCTATGGCAGCTCGAGCCTGCATTTATATTTTCATATATAGATTTGCATCTATCAAGCATATAATATTTCCACGCCGGCTAGGCATCGCATTTTCAAACAGAACGCATAGCATTTACATGCCATATAGGATATTGCATCATTATCAGACATACGCATTTCGAAACATGGACCAGGTTGGGTTACCTAATGGATTTCGAATTTGTTCCCTGCAGAGTTGTGTGGTTCAGCTTATCTTCTCCCCCAGCAGAGTGATTCTTCATTTGGTTGTTACGTCAGCATCGGAAAAAAACAAGGAGATTGACATATATCAGGTTTCTGAAGCTGCGGCCTGTTGACAGAATAGGTGCCAGGCAGTTCAATTCAGAATTCCCCAGGAGAGTTTCCTCAGGTTCGCCGTGAACCATGAGTCGACAGAAAAAAAACCCATGACAGATGGGAAGGTGTTTGCTTTTCTGAAGCATTATTCCGAAGAATCAATACTTGTGGCGTCACACAGGTGATTGGTGTTGCAAGGAGAAGAAAATTTATCAGAAAATTGACCAGTTGTTGCCGTGACAACCAAACTTCAGTTCATTGGAAGTTATTCCTCAAGCAGTTTTGCAGTATATTCCCGCGGTTGGAAAATTTCAGGGTTCCATTTGTATTCAACCGTCATCTACCTCGAATGTTTGAAGGCTGAGCGCTCTTCAACCATTCAGGTCCAAGCCGCTTGAATAGGGGCAGCTGTTGCACCCTAAAATTTGACCAACCGGGTCTCGTATCTGGTCCTATGTTTCGACGCATGACCGCATTCGCATCTGCATATCGCATACAGTGCATATCTCATTTGTTTTGATTTTATCGGGATCACAGCTCTCGTCTCGCGTCTCAGGTGGTTTTTGATCAGTTTAGATAGATAGAATCGTGTTTTTGGGATATTTCGGTGCCCGTTTATTTTTACCGGCTATGTTGATGCGCTCTCGCGGTGTTATTTGTCGTTCGGTGCTATTTTTTTGTTGCTTCGGGATTTATTTTGATTTTTCTGGAATTTATTAGCTATTTTTAGATTTTTTATAGCTTTTAAATCATTTTAGGATAATATAGAATATTTTTAGAATATAATAGATTTTAATAGAATATTAATAGTTTTTTTTAATATTTTTAATTCTTTTTAGACAGATTTTTAATCATCTTAGAATAATAGAATAATATAGTTTTTTTTATTAATCATAGATGTTCTTTTAAAGAAATAATATAGTTGTTTTTAATAGAAGTTTCATAGGATTTTAAATAGCATTTTAATAGAATAGATTTCTTTTCTCTTAATATAGAATATGGATTTTTCATTTTAATAAATGGATAGATTTTTCTTTAATAGATATTATAGAATTAATAGGTTTTTTGAATATTAGATTTGATTAGAGGTTATATTAGGTTAATTGAATAATTTAGAATTTAATTAGCTTTAGGTTAATCAGAATTTTAATTCATTTAGTTAATTAGTAATTAGTCTTAATCATTTTCCATTTAATCAGATTTTAATTAGTTTTTTTCTTTTCAGTTTAATTCATTTCAGTTTTTGGATTTTTTTGATATCATTTTCGTGTGGGCCTTATTATCAGATTCAGCAAAGCCCAAATTCGCAGGGCCCAGTTTTCCCAGTTCAGTCTTAATCCAGAAAGTTCCAGAATAGTCCAAAAAATCAAGTCCTATATAAATATTCAGCGCCACGTGTTGCCAAAGAGAGGACCCCACGTTACACACCATCACCACGCCACCTCACACTCTCAGAGTCTCTCTCCATGCCACGCCAGTCCCACGTGTAACGCATGCACCGTCTTCCCCCACTCACCCACCACGTGTCCACTGCCTATCCCCCACCGGTTGCATGGCCGGCGGCCATGCAACCACCGTACCAGTCCATCGCCGGCGACCCCAACGACTTCCGACCGCCGTACCGGTCACCGGAAACACAAAAAAAACCAGAACTCCTTCAATATTCATCCTCCTTCAATCTTCATCCTCCTTCAATCTTCATCTCATTCCCAGAAACCTCCATCTCAACCGATCATCTTCTCCGATTGTTCTCCGATCCATCATCATCCATGATCAACCAAATCC